CTTTTAGTTTAGTCAGGGATAAATGTAGGATTTCATCTAGATTTTTGAGGTGTTAAAAATTCTAGCATTCTGTTTCTCATGAAATTATTGCTAGTAAGTATCAACTCAAAACTAGCAAATTATTCAGTAGATAAGGAAAACGAGGTCCCAGGCATTCGGGATATTACAAAGAAATATGTCAACCCTGGGGCTTGGGGAAGACAAATAAGGACCAAAACTTCCTCTCTGATCTTTGTGTTTTTAGTACAAATGTTACCTGATATACAGAGAGAAAGCATTCCCACAAGCTCCCTAGAGATGTAAGATGGCATAGTTATAGTTTTCATATAAATCATGTTCCAATGTGGAGAGTTCATGAAAATTTCAATCACTATTTATTATTATTTTCTGTGATGGATGATAGTAGAGATAGTAGAGTGAATCTTTATATAAACATTTATATAAACATTCTAATTCAAATGTTTACTCTTTCAAACACTAAACAATATTTTCATGTTAATGCATGAAATACAAGTCTCTTACTTTAAATAGGATGGACAAAAGAAATGTTTCTAATAGTTACATGTAAGAATAGATTCCAGAAGTTCCTTTCAGAAGTTCAGAAGCATTGTTTAATTATGAGCATCCATGCAGTGATGCTCATATATTTTAGACTTCAGGATCCTTGCGTCTGAAAAGAAAGAGTATTACATGCATGGTGAAGATAAAAAATAAAATTAATGCCATGTGAGTAGTTTTATGACTTGCTTAAGAATACAGTAATGCTTTGGGTGTGGTTGCTGTTTATTATAATTAGCACATTGAAATGACTTTTCTTGGTAGAACAGTCTGCTTTGTTCTACTTTACCTCCCCAGGCTCTGAAACATATTTCTTGTTGCAGTGCTGTCATAAGTGATTGTTTGTGATGTTTTCCTTCTCATCTACCCAGGTATCATCAGGACAGCCCTTCCCAATATGGACAGAGAAGCCAAGGAGGAATACCATGTGGTGATCCAGGCCAAGGACATGGGTGGACATATGGGTGGACTCTCAGGGACAACCAAAGTGACGATCACACTGACCGATGTCAATGACAATCCACCAAAGTTTCCACAGAGTAAGTACGTGGGCTTGACTTTTGCTGTTCACCACTGCACAGCCAGCTCCTCACTGTCATACCTGATAGAGTTGCACGCAGCTTTCAGAAAGAATAGTCTAGAACACCGGAACTCTAATATAAAATAGATATTATTTCTATATTTTTTTCAAAAGAGAACACCAGAAAACAACAAACAGCAAAACCCTCACACACTTAGACAAGAAACTTAAGCTAAATATAAATAACAAGAAAAAGGAAGACGTGAAAGCTCTGTGACTCTAGAGACAGAAAATCACTGTTGCTAGATACATTATTTACTAGGTATTAGTCACGCAGTGTAGCACTTAGTTAACCTTTCTCTGTCTCAGTGTCCTCATTAGAAACCTGAATAAACAGTACCTGAATCTGTTATTTGTTGTTACATAGCAAATAGCCCTAAATCTTAGTGATTTAAAATAATAATCAATTGTGTTGTGGGTTTTCAGTTTGGAAAGAGTTTGGAGGAGGCAGCTGTTTTAGCTCCCTTCCAATGCCACAACTCCCCTCTTACAGTGCTGCAAAGTTAATATCAACTACTGGGTCTTCTTCACGTGGGCCTCTCTGTAGCTAAGTTCTGAACTTGAAGGCCTCCAGGGCACCAGGCATCCACTGCACCGCCTTTTCTGAACTGGCTTCACAAGTTACATAGCTTTGTTCACTGTAGTCAAAAGATTGTCAGGATCTGAATGACGTTCACCTCACTTTTCCCTGGAGGGACCATGAAATCCTGTCGAAGGAGAGACTTGAGGGATAAGAAATACTGTTTAGTGAAGATGACATCTAACTTAGTATCTAATTTAAATTGGATTGTGTATTATTTGAATCAAACAAACTAATGCAAATTGTTATATCAATTAACAAACTGTTAACAAATTTTATTGATATTTTTTATTATTGTACAAGATTTATAAAATTGTGGAAGGAATAGACAGGAAACTGACGACTGGAGAGATGGCTTATCAGGTGAGAGCATGAACTGCTCTTGCAGAAGACCCGAGTTTGGATCCCAGCACCCACATTAGAAAGCTCACAACTGCCTGTAACTTAAACTCTGGGGATCTGATGCTCTCTTCTGGCATCTGCAGGCACCTGCACATGCATACGTATACCCCTCTTCCTCACACACATGCACATAATTAAAACTAAAATAAAACAAAAATTTTTATTGTGGGAATTTTTGTCATTTTCATACAATATAATTTGATAGTATTTAGGTTCCCCCTCTCTGTACCTCCAATTACTGCCCCCCCACCTAATTTAATGTACTCTATTATATATAATATTGCCTACAGAGTCTGATTTGTGCTCCGAAATGTCCTTTAGTGTAGTTCCATCCACTGGAGCCTGATTAACCTAACAAGAGTCTCATCCCTGTAAGACACTGTCTTCCCCCCTTCCCCAAGCAGGCATCAGTTGCTAAAAGTTCCTAAGACTGGGTTGGGGTTTCTTACCCACTTTCTCATGTCAATGGTGGGATTTCATCTAGTTTAGCTTGCATGAGACTTGTACATGCTATCACTGGTGCTAGGATCTAATGCCATCTTCTGGTCTCTGCATGCACCTGTATTACATGGATATACCCCCCCATAGACATGCATACACATAATTAAAAATCAAACAGAACTTTAAAAATATTGAAAAGCCTTAAAAATTATTGAAAATGCCTTTCGTCCCAGCACTCGGGAAGCAGAGGCAGGTGGAGGATATTTGTGAGTTCAAGGCCAACCTGGTCTACACAGTGAGTTCCAGGCCAGCTGGGACTACAGGGAGACCCTGTCTCAAAAAGACC